TTGTAAATCTAATAATTGAAGCTTTCGCTTTCTTTCACATTCAATCATTAACAATTCCTCTTCCAATTTCTTTTTCTGCAAATCTGCTAGTTCTATCCGTTTATCAAGCAGTTGGTCGTATTTTTCAGCTATTTCAGACCTTGTTAGAGCTTTGATTTGCATTGTTAGTCGACGTCTAGTACTTGCTAGTACAGTAGTCAGTATCATCATGAAGATAGCAATCAGTGTTTAAAGCAAGAACGGTGCAACCGGGGGTAAGTCTTACTGGCTGGCATAGAAGTCACTAGCTGCTCAACAATGTCAAATGTTGCTATGGGGGCAGTTTGCGCATAGTCCAGCAACATCTGAGCCTCCTTACTGCGAGGACTCTCTGTTACAATGGTACGACCGGTGGATTTAGCCACGTAGCTGTGGGCATAGTTGGACCATTCAATGCGCAAATCCGTCAGGAAAATCACCGTTGTTCGAGCTTTCCAATTGTTGGAACTGAAATGAGGCCCCAATTAAAACCCAACTAGTTGCCGCTTAATACCTACCGCTCTATTAGGTCGGGTTCCCATAGAGTCACTCGCAGGCAATGGGATGTGTGGTCGAACACTTCCACTTCGCGAGCTTGAATCACCTCATTGAGTCTGGTGTGGATGCTGCGTATTTGACTCAATCCCCTGATGGCACCCAACACATCAGCAACTGTAACAAAAGCACATAATCGACTAAACCCGGACAATTGTCCCGGAACAGCATTACATTGAATTGATCCTCCTCTGTTATGGATGTCGTGTATCGGGACAAATACGGCAGTGGGCTTGGTTGGATAGTTCAGAAGGTTCAGGAAAAATTCAGTCTGCACGTGCGGAATAATGGCTGATTTCTCAGTTAATGATAGTTTATATGGGGATGTCACCATGGGGTGGTACTGTTCGGAGCGATCGTCCAGCTTTCGGATTGTTATATTAGGGTTGAGAATTTGCACTGAAAATTAATCTGTTAAGTTAAATCAAAGACTGATATGGTGTTTATCTCAAACTGTGCAAAAATTCGATCTTACCGACAGCCCCGCTGGAAAATTTCTCATTTGTATTGAAAATCAGCTCGGAAGGCCCCCAATAGCACACATTAATGTAATGCTGGAGCGAATCCCTGAGAGTGAAATTCCAAACTGCTCTCGGAGCGCTGGGCTCCGAGCGCTGACTTTCGAACACTTTCGGCCGTTGTTTAGCAATAATTATCCCGACGATCAACACATTGCTCATATTCGGGTCGAGGTCTTTCAACTCCACTCTTTTCAACGCGCTGCCACCAGCATTAGTTTGATTTTGATTCATTTTTGAAAAATCGGAGAAACCGTGGACGTAGATGTCACACCAACGTTTCAGTTTGACACATTTTGATTGTCATTACTTAATTGTTTTTAACACCCGTCATAAGGGCTTTTCCAGCGAATTATCCTTCTAGACGTAAATGCTGACGTCACAGTAGGTGGAGCAACTTGATTTGCGTTATTATCAATTAATCACACTGTTTTGGGCCCGTAACTGTCAAAAACGCTTCAAAATCCAAACAAACATCCTCGTATATTTTCCCATTTCAGTGACTAACAAAAATAAGCTACATCGACAACGCAATATTAAACGAATGGCGTATTAATCCAGCCATCTGTAAACGTACACGCTTTAGAACTTAAGTGGAATGACAATTGCTTAAACATTACAGAATTTTTTACAAACTTCTTTTTGGGTATTTCGGCTCAAAAATGTTTGTCTTTAAAAAAGACAGAATTTCCTCACGTCTTTTATTACAGATTGATAAATAGTGCTCCTATTTCGCAATAAGAACGAATTATTTATCAAAAAGTAATCAAGAACTATCACCTAGAGGGTATCCTGCGACACACTTAGGCTCAAGAGAAACATACACCCAAATTAAATTTACATCAAAATTATTAATTAACATTACCTTTACTAATTTAAACAATGAGATTAAGTCAAAGCCACATAACTGAGAATTTGCACAGACGAATTATCAGAGCGAATTTTCATATTCTGTATTATCCTACTATTGTTACACAATTTATTAAAAAACACACTCTTTTTTACGTTCGTTTAGGTTCTTTTGATAACGATAGCAGAAAATAGCTATCGAAACGTCAAGGTAATTTTTCAAATTAATTTCTTTACTAATTGGAATTTTCTCTTA